AGTGAAAAATTCCTGACTCCCTAGCAACCTCAGTTTTCCATAAATCAACCAGGAGTATGGTTGAGTGTGGTTGATGTCACTTGTGAATGATAAATAAGGGTGATGTTCAAAGATCTAAGAGGGAGAAAGAGAAGACAGAGAGAGGTGAAGTCTTAAAAATGATTTGTACTTACAGTGTCATAATTCTGTTCTAAGAAGTCTGCTACCAACACTTTGTGTCTGGTTAGTAAATCCTAGAAAGAAAATAACCAAGGGAAACAAAATTATTAGGGCTAATAAATTCAACAATTGATTAAATTTAAAATCAGTCTTTTCCCTAAGGCTTGATAATTTCATTTGTTTGAAATAAATGTAAAAGTTGCAAAAACTTCTTCATTTACAAAATACTTTTACTCCTACTTTAAGATGTGAAATACCAGTTTGCTTCAGATTAAAAGCAATAAGTAGGGCTGGGGATGTAGCTCAAGCGGTAGCGCGCTCGCCTGGCATGCGTGCGGCCCGGGTTTGATCCTCAGCACCACATACAAACAAAGATGTTGTGTCCGCCGAGAACTAAAAAATAAATATTAAAAAAAAAATTCTCTCTTTCTCTCTCTCTCTTAAAAAAAAAAAGCAATAAGTAAATACCTAGTATTAAATATAGTGTTTTAAATTTGTATTTTGTTAGATTTATCATAGAAATAATTTAACTGATAAAACAAATGGCACCTCACTGTGTACAGCATACTTTTTATGACATAATAAAGTTAATGTGTTTTTGTGTGTGTGTGTGTGTATGTAGCCCAGGGGGTTGAACCCAAGTGTACTTTACCCTGAGCTACATCCCCAGCCCTTTTCACTTTTTGAGGCAGTGTCTCCTAATTTGCTGAGGCTGGCCACGAACTTTCCCCTTTCCCTATCTGAATTACAGGGATTACAAGTGTGTGCCACAACTAAGGTCTTTAGTAATAATCTTTTTTTCTTTTTAAAGACAGTATCTTGGTATGTTGTCCACATGGGCCTTGAACTGACTGAGTTCATGTGATCCTCCTGCCTCAGCCTCCAGAGTGTTGAATGTTACTTAAAAAAAATTTTTTTTTTTAGTTGTTGATGGACCTTTATTTACTTATGTACAGTACTGAAATTGAACCCAGTACCTCACAGGTGCTAGGCAAGCGCTCTACCACTGAGCCACAACCTCAGCCCATGGATGTTTTTTTTAAAAAAATCAAGAATGTGGATTGGTGTAAAACCTTATCTCATAAATTAAAGTAACAGGTTTTCAAGGATGTGAACCTTTCATTTTTTTTTTTCTAACCACTTTTAAACAGAGGTGTCTCAGACTCTGGGAAGCATAGGAATGACATTTAACAGTGTCATCTCATTTTGTGCTGCTCTCAGGTGAATGGCCTTCAGGCATAGTGAAAGTCAAGGAGTCACACAACTGCCCTATCCTATTACAGACATAAACTTGCAGAAAACTGCACAAAAGCATAAGGAAACTTTTGTCTGTCTCAACTCACACCTAAATTATATCTTTATTGCACCTTCATGTTGAAAGACAACAAACCTTGTGGCCCGGCACAGTGGCCCACATCTGTGATCCCAGTGGCTAGGGAGGCTGAGCAGGAGGATTGTGAGTTTAAAGCCAGCCTCAGTAACTTATCGTCGAGGCCCTAGTAACTCAGTGTGACCCCGTCTCTAAATAAAATATAAAAAGGGATGGGATGTGGCTCAGTGTTAAGCACCCCTGGGTTC